TGAGGGTGGTCAGGACAAAGTTGTTTTGTTTTTGGCTCAGCTAGGGCAGCCTTGACCGCCGAAATCTTGAGGGGAGTGACTGACTTAGCTGCTGGATTTTCTCAGAGTAATTTTTAGTTCCCATCCGGCCTTTACTATTTTTCCCAGAACTATGTATGGTACACTGCAAAATGGCATTAGCTATGTCTAACTCTGTTTAACTCAGGGGGATATGGGGTCTTTCAAGACAATGACTCAACGAGTAAAGCACTTGACATCCAAGCTTGGGGAACTGAGGTTGAATCCTCAGAACCCAAGTACACCTAGAACAAGGGAGTGCATCCGTAATTTCAGTGTTCCTACTGGGAGATGAAAAGCAGGGACAGGATAGCCCATGGGAATTTCTAAGTCCAATTATCTTGGCATACACAGTGAACACCAAAACAATGATGTCTCAAACAGTATGGAAACAAAGAACAGACACCAAAACTGTCCTTGGATCTCCAGAGGCACAAACATACACCATAGATGAAGAGTTTAAGTTACCCTGGGTGACTCCATTTTGAAATAAGGAGCCATCTCGACCTGGAGCTGAACTCAAGTACCAGGAAATATCATAGAATGTGCACCTGGCAGAAAATAAAGTTAGCTCTCCAAGCAATGGCCTCCAGGAAATATCACAGAATAAATGTTTAGTAAAAAATAGAGACAATCTCCCTGACAATTGTGATTATGTAAACCATCACCTCTCCCCTATGGCTTTTACCCAATTCTGTAATGTCAAGGCATGAACCCCCCTGCTTGCTGCCATGGAAACCCCCTGCTTACAGTCTTTCCCTTTAAAAACCCTGCTCACTGAGGGCTTGGGGTCCCACTTCTCTACTGCTGTGTCAGTGAGACTTGGGACCCGAGTTTGATTGCTCTCATAATAAAGCTCTCTTGCTCTTGCATCGAGTCGTCTCCTGGTGGTCTCTGAGGGTCCCATGATCCTGGCATTACATAGACACTTGCATACAATTTTAATTAAAATTTTAAAAAAATTGAAATTTTACAAACATACACAGTGAGCTAATGCTTATAGTTCCAGCACTCAGGAGATGGAGGGAGGCAAAATGCTTATGTGAGACCAAAAGATTAAAAATCAGCTATTAATTGAGGCCTAAACTAGGTGGGTGAAGTCTAGTAATGCCCTGAGGGGAAGGTCCGCCTTACTGCATTCTTTCCCCACCCACTAGAGATACAGTTGCTAGGAAACTGGCCCATCCCCCTAGGGAGGGACACCAGGTCATTATGGTCTGGGAACCTTCCTATAGCCAGTCAATTCAAAATGTAGCATTTTGACCAATAGATGCTTGCCAGGCAGGAATCGCCCCTGCCTTGGTCATGCTGGGATGGACCAGAATCTTTGAATCACCCAACTAACCTGAGCACAGGGTCCTAGGCTCGCAGCGCTTCGGCGGTGGGGTGTGTGGGACCAAGCTGCAGCTTGTAATTTGTAATAAAAAGACCCTCATGTGTTTATAGCGGAGTCTAGTTATTCCTGGTCTTTTGGGGTTCATGAACTGGGCAGAACACTCAGAAGTTCAAGGTCACTCTTGGCTACAGAGTGAGTTTAAGGCCACCTGGGCTACATTAAAACTTATATAAAAGGAATAACTATTTGTTAGTATCTTCAGAGCTAGGTCACTGTGCATGTTGGCTCATTCCCACGACCTAAGAATTGGGTCTATGAGGCAAGATTGTTATCCTATCCAGGCCAATCTCACTCAGCTACTACCAGCCTGGAATAAGGTATAGGGGTGCAGAGTAAGAGCCTGTCAAAAAACAAAGCACCAAACTCAAATCCCAATAGCAATCCATCTTTAAAAAATAGTGACTGGTGCCAGGCATGGTGGTGCATACCTTTAATTCCAGCACTAGGGAAACCGATGCAGATGGATCCCTGAACGTTCAAGGCTAGCCTGATCTATGCATACAGAGAGCCACAGGACAGACATAGCTACATGGAGAGAAGCTGTCTCATCATCATCATCAACAACAACGAAGTAGTTACTGGTTTCACCCCTGGCTTATCTCCAGAGACTTTCTGTGAGCAGTCAGTTGCAGATGGGTGTCTGTCTCTGCACTCTTTCACACACGCGCCTTTCTGGAGTTGCAGTGTGAATCGCTCCAGCCTTCTACGGCTGCCTTTGTGAAACACACTTTGTGAACCCGGGAGAGTAGCAGGACCATCAACTGTACGTGAAGCTCCTCTTCACGCTTGTTTGCCTTGATTCTGATTGAATCGTTTCTCTGCCCCTGCCCGCAAGCACCATCTTCTCCTTAATCCAGTTTTTCTATTTCAGTTTTCATGTATAAATATGAAATAGAGATCTGATTTATTTTTTTTAATCACTTGTAGTCTCTGAAGGCTTTCAGGTAAGAACACATTCTCTTTCTCTAAAATCCTTCACCAGGGCAGCACCAGTCCTGAAGCTCTGAGGTCAAGAACTGAGGCAGATTCTGCCTAAATCACATTGTGGCTCCACTACCTAAAAGCAATGGGATTCCGGGCAGATGCTTCTCCACCTGCTCAAGTAAATTTTTGCATTGTTTTTTAAATAGAAACAAAAAAAAAATAAAAGATACTAGCAGTCATGACATGGTTTTTACAGTAACAAAATATGCACAAATCCATTAACTTCCAAAGCTACAGCTAAGAAGCTCTTCCATACGTGAGAGCACCGTGCACCACGTGTGCCTTGGATGCTCACGACTGGTAAGGCGGAAGCCTACGTCACAGGGCTGCAAGGTAACTGGAGAGCTTTTACTGCAAAGGGTTTGTGTTGGTTTTGAGATTCCCAGAAGAAACTATGGAAAAGAGGAGGGCTTGTACTTGAAGGTCTTAAGGGCTCAATCAGGCCTGAACGGTAACTAAGTGCTATTTTAACATTGTACTTTGAAAAGTTTTGCAGCAAGTATGTTGGAATTTGTTTTTAATATTCATTCATTAAATGAATATTAAATATTAAATATTGTCAGCAGGCAATGGTGCGTCACCAGGCTCCAGAGGCTCTTTTTGGTTCCTGCGGCCTGTAATTTTTCTTTCTTTCTCTGCTGCCTTGGAATGTGGAGGGAATACACTGACTGGTGATTTAGAACACAAGAGTGGGGTTAAGAAGGAACATGAGTAAATTGGCTAAGAAGTCAGGCAGGAGAGGCAGAGAAAGGTAGGGAAGGGGGCAGAAAGAACACTCTTCTGGTTTGGAGTTTGTTTTTGTATGTTTTTTGTTGTTGTTGTTGTTGTTGTTGTTTTTCCATAAGGGTCTCTCTATGTTGCCCTAGCGAAGCTGGAATAGTATGTAGGCCTTGAACCCACAGATTGTCCTATCTGCTTCCCAAGTGCTAGAAGCAAAGGCATATCCTATGTTTGATTTATTTGTCTATCTGTTCGTTTTTTGAGACTGGGTTTCTCTTCGTAGTGCTGGCTGTCCTGATTTTCTTTCAATACTTTCACTAGCCTCAGCGGAAGAGAATGCACTTAACTTAATCCTGATGTGACTTGATATGTGAGGGAAGTGGAGAGAAGGGGGTTAAGAAGGGCGCTCCCCTTTTCTGAGGAGAAAGGGAGGGGGAAAGCAGAAAGAAGGTGGAGGGTTGACAGGGAGGAAGGAGGCTGCAATAGGGATGTAAAGTGAATAAATTTTTAAAAACTTGATAAAATAGAAAAGTTTTAAAAAAGAATAAATGTAAATACTAATCCAATCACAGAAAAAAAATACTTTCACTAAATTAAAATTTTACTTCTGATGTTTACTGGGAAAACTGATGTTCCCTCTATGTTCTTGGTCTCATTGAAACGAAAATTTAACACAGATTCAGAAAGATCAAGGCCAGTTTTATTGGAGTTTGAAAGACAAACAGTACAGGCAAGCTGTACCAAAACGCAAATAACCTAGAAGGGAGGGGAGAGGAGGAGACAGGACACAAGGGAACCTGACAGCATGGCAGAGACAGAGAGAAATCATACTCTTTAGTTAGCCTTGGAGGTAAAAAACTGAGCAGCCCACAGTTCCGTGGGTAGTATGGTCAGAATAGCTGAGCAGCACACCAGAGTTCAGAGGACACCAAATCCCAGATCCTTGTGTCTGAGGGAAAAGGATTGCACCTGGGTCACGTGGTTGAAAATAACTAGAGACAGATTATGAAGGAAAAGAACCCAAAGCAGTTAGTGGGCTAGAGGGCGAAGGTAAAGCTCCCAGAAAGCGTGTGGCCAGCTGATAGATAGTCCCCTTTTCCTTTTGGCGTTTCATAGGCATTTTTTTGTTGTGGCTGTTTTTGTATTTACGATTGTGAGCCTAGCCTTTAACGGCTGCGTGGCGCCTCGTCTGTTCCGCAGAGGGTACGGTAAACATACCTCGGCAATCTAGTTTCTTTCATATGTTAATCTTGGTGTTTCTGTCCGGTCCAACTTCTGACAGGGGATCATCCAAATTCGGCTGAAATGTTTTCTTTATTCTTTTTCAACAAGATGTCTTACCCCCGTGTCCCTCTACCGTTACTCGTCTGTAGAATTTATTCCCAACCGCTTACTTTCACTCTGGGCTTTGCTTTCTGTATACTAAACTGCACTACCTTGGCAACTCCCGGAACCTTGAAGGTCGGCTGGATCTTTTTTCTTCTTTTCTTTCACTGGACCCAAATATGGATTGAAGTGTAAAAATGCAATTTTTACATTAACTTTTCAATAGATTCAGAATGTTTGCTATTAGATTGGGCGCAAGCTTTAACTTCCGGCATTTCAAAATAGAGCGAATTCTGCTTTAAAAAAAACAAGCAATATAAAACATTTAAAAAGAAAGATTTGACGTACGGAGCTCGAAAAATTATTACACAATTCGAGCTTGACCAATGGGAAGGTAGGAAGTCATTTGTAAGCTCTGACCAATCCCACAGCGTGAAAGTAAGTCTTAATTTGCATAAGACTGCCTACAAATACACAAACAAATGCTCCTAAGGCTTCACTTTCTTTCATTTCCAAAGAGAGAGACCTGAAGATGCCCGAGCCCGCCAAGTCCGCTCCCGCCCCGAAGAAGGGCTCCAAGAAGGCGGTGACCAAGGCGCAGAAGAAGGACGGCAAGAAGCGCAAGCGCAGCCGCAAGGAGAGCTACTCGGTGTACGTGTACAAGGTGCTGAAGCAGGTGCACCCCGACACGGGCATCTCGTCCAAGGCCATGGGCATCATGAACTCGTTCGTCAACGACATCTTCGAGCGCATCGCGGGCGAGGCGTCGCGCCTGGCGCACTACAACAAGCGCTCGACCATCACGTCGCGGGAGATCCAGACGGCCGTGCGCCTGCTGCTGCCCGGGGAGCTGGCCAAGCACGCCGTGTCCGAGGGCACCAAGGCCGTCACCAAGTACACCAGCTCCAAGTGATCGTGCCAAGTAAGCCTGCATTACAGATTCCAAAGGCTCTTTTCAGAGCCACCCAACAGCTCACAATCGAGAACTGTGCACTTGTGCGCTGACCACAGCGACCCTCTGTAGAGGAGCGTGCACGGGGCGATGCTCGTCTGCCTAAGTCCGGTCGATGCAGAATCCCTGGCACCGGGATGCGGGGTGAAACCACCGGTTTGCATACGGAAATGCGTTCTTAACCGAGGTCTAGTTCCGAGCTCGGCCCCTGGCTGGTTCCCGAGGCCCGGGCCGCCATCTTGCGCGGCGCCGTCCTGCGCGGAGTGTTCGCTTCAGCTCCGCCCCGAAAGCGGAAGTCCCAGCCTGCGCCGGAGCCTCCGACCAGTCCTCGCCCGTCCCCACTTCCAAAGACCTCCTGGCCCGCAGCTTTCCAATTGTAAAACGTCCCCCTGTGCACGTAAGAATTAGATTGTGGGAGAAGCTGCAAGAAGAGAAACGTTTACTTTTTTTTTTTAATTGCAGGAGATGGTGAAAGGGGGTTGTTTGTAAAAAACTAACGGGAAGGGTAGGCAGGCCTGGAAGCATTTAATTTTCTTTCTTTTCCTAAACGGCTGGGTATTTTTTCCAAGAAGATTCCCAAACCCCTCCCTCTCGTGAGTTTGTGAGACTTGGAAAAAGAAAAAAAAAAAAAAAACCTCCTAGCATTTAGCCCTATCACTTTTTTTGTAGCTAAGACTATGGAATGTTAGGTGTGGTCCTGTGGCCTCCGTCTCTTTTTAATTGACCTGGCTCTGAGTCTGCATTGCCTGAGTTTCACCCATGCGTCCCAGCAGTGAGGGACCCTGACCCAGTCTTGTGAGGAAAGTAGGAGAATCAGGGGTGCTAGGTACGGAACTAAATGCCCAGTTCCTTTACCCCACCTCCCGGGGCGGGCCTTCCAAAGTGAATACAAAGAAACTGTTAAGGGTTCAGGAATAGCCCCCTCAGTGACCACTCACACACCAGACTCAACAGAAACTGACCGGTCAGTGCCATAATCTGACTCCGGAGACAGCCTGTGATCTTGGTCTGCTCCTAAAGCAGGTTTTTTTATTTAAAAAAAAAAAAAAAAAAAAAAGTAACCAAGTAGCAACCGGCTAACAAAACTGTAACCAGGTGTTGGGAGTGGGAAAAAAAGCAACTAGGTAACAACCAGGTAACAAATGCAACAAAGTATCCAGCTACAGGAAGCAACATTATATCATTTTGACTAGCTAGACAAAGCATTTCTAACGGACCTTTAAGGTAATTGGTTCGGCTGTTGGGGGACTTCATCGAGTGCCCACGTAACAAAGTACACAAAGTTTGAGAAATGAAACCATAGAGACATAATCCAAATGGACACTTGGAGACAAAATGGCTTCTGATATGCTAAAGGCTACAGCAGGTGTTAACAGAGGAGCCATAGTTATGCTAAGAAATAAAGTAGGTGTCAACAGAGGGCCTATAAAATAAAGCTGGTTACAACAAAACTGTCCATTTCAAAGTAACAAAATTGCAACTGCCATCCAGGAGGCAATTCAGTGCGTAGTTATTTGCCAGCAAGCCTGTATACCTGAGCTGTATCCTCTAGACCCACGTTGTGGAAGGAGTGAATTCCAGAAACTTGCCCTGGGATCTACACAGACATCCCATGACAAGCAGGGCACGCACAAATAAATGTAACTTTTTTCTCTGATTTTTTTGTTTGTTTCTGTTTTTAGCTTTGTTTTTGTTGTGACAAGATCTACAGCCCCCGGTACCCTGAAACTCAACCTTGAAACTCAAACTCTCAGGCATCCCCAGGCTTCACCATTCTAAACAGGAAATTATAGGTGTAGGCCACCCCACCCTGTGGTGTGCATCTATGCTTGTTTGTTTGGGGCTTTGTTGTATTTTGTTTTGCTTCTTGAGACTGAGTCTGGAACTCACTAGACCAAGCTGGCCCTCGGAGACTTCTGCCTGCCTCTGCCTCCTTGAGCACTGGGATTAAAGGTGTGCGCCTTCCTCCATGCAAACACTTTTGTTTACTCCTGTGCAGCCTGCTCAGAGCCTTTCTGCCATCCCCACTGATCTTAAAAGCAGAATTGCATTGAAGTGGTGCTCTGCAAAGTAGGCCTCCTCTAGCTCTCTGTAAAAACCCTCAGGAGATTCCCCTCAGGTTATTGCACTGTTTTTGTTGTTCTGTTTTGTTTTTAATATTTTCCCACTGTTTGAAATTTACCATGACCCCTCCATCTCTGTTTAGTGCAGATTTTCTCTACCTAAGCTACCTTTCAAGGCCTGGGCAGGCTGCATAGCAAGATTCTACTTTGAAATAAATACAAAAACTGGGGTGGGGGTGGGGGGACGACTGGACTGCAAGGTGATGTTTCTCAAATTTGAGTGGATGAGAGCATTGCCTGTTGGACTTGTCTAAGGACATGCTGGTGATTCTAATACCCAAGTTTCTGTTGTCTATAAGGCCTAGGTCTCTTTTTTCTTTTTCTTTTTTTTTTTTTTAAGTTCCCAGAGGGAAGGGCTGGGCTGTCACCTAAAGCAACTGACCTGAGAGCCTGTTGAGCTTTCATTCCTGAAAAACGTGTAAATGTAATAAACACGTAAACAGAAAAAGATAATAGTTTCTTCAAGTTCTCAAGGGACACTGATGTTACTTTTCTGATGATTCTTTAGGAGCATCTGACAATGTAGACCAAAGCTAACAAAGTCCTAATCCATGTGGAATTTTCCTTATGAGAAGATGTAATATTTATATGTCGAACTATGATTTTTATTTTACAGATTAAAAAGTTACAGAAAGCTGGGTGTAGTGGCACATGCCTTTAATCCCAACAAGTGGGAGGCAGAGGCAGAAAGATCTCTGTGAGTTCAAGGCCAGCCTAGTTTAAGTTCCAAGACAGCCAGTGCTGTTACACACAGAAACTGTGTCTTGAAGAACCAAAAGAAGTTGTAGAAAGCTCCAGAGCAAGGAACTAACAAATTCAGCTTTCTTTGGGTTTCCAAGACTGAATTAATCAAATGGTTTGGTTTGGTTTGGTTTGAAGAGCAAACAGCTTCTATACCTCAAGGGCCTTGAACTTTGATCCCCTGGTCCCTACCTTCTGCATGCTGACATTAAAGAATGCATCACAGCAGGCCCGCATTTGTGCAGTACTGGAGCTAGAGCCCTGTGCCTTTCTAAACAAACGTTATGCTTTGAACCACATTCCCGGCACCCACCTTCCATGCCTTCTCCCTCATCCAGAAGAAAAGACACTTGTACACATAAAACTTTAATAGAAACAATAAAGGCAAAGAAAGAGAGAGAGAGAAAGAAAGAAAGAAAGAAAGAAAGAAAGAAAGAAACCTTAGTCAAGAGAATAGCCTTTCTGGCCTAGGTGGAAAGGTAACATTTCTAGGACCACCCCTAGGTAGTTTCACGTGAAGCCATACTAGAGCTACATAGAATATTTTACCACCCCCACCCCCAACGTGATTGATTCTGTCAGGCTGAGCAGCCATGAAGTTTTACTGGATCTGCCCAGTTTCTTAAACTACACTTTATCCCTTTTTTTCCTTTTGTCTCAAATGCTGGGCAGAACATGAATGTGATTTTTCTGGTAGTTTGTAGCTGTATGTCCATCACCCACACGCTCCGAGATGACATCCTCTGGAACTGGAGTTATAAATGTTTGAAAGCCACCATGTGGGTGCTAGGGTCTCAGTACCTAACAATTACTGTGCACAGCCCTGCCTTTTCTGACTCTTACAAAAATATTGTTCAAGAAAATAGTTTGTGCGGGGTGGAGCAAGGGGGTGGAGGGAGGAAAATTCAAGAAATGCTGTCTCACACCTGTAATCCCAAATCTTGACAGCCTGGGTCAGGATGGTGCCTAAATTAGGAGCAAGCCTGCTGCCTCATGGTTAAGGCTAGACTACACTATATACAGACTACTGTCCCAGGACAAATATGTATCGAATACTTGTTAACAAAAGAAACTCGATTGTTTCGTGCTAAGACTTGAGGCTAAGAACTTTCTAAATTAGTTGGCTTGTTCCATAACAGAAAGTTACAAACATCTGGAAACTACACTAAACCTACATGAAATGAGCGCTAAAGGACCTAAAAATCTAGAGTTAACATGGAGAACACACTGGGAACCCTTCACGTTAATACGCTAGGATATACCACCCAGAACTTGTTAGCATGCTTAAATTTAACAGTTCAGCACGGATTCTTAGATAGCGAATTCAGCTCTTTTAAATGATAAAGTGGGTGGCCCTGAAAAGGGCCTTTGCTTTGGGGGAAAAGAGTGGCTAAGTTTAGCCGCCGAAGCCGTAGAGCGTGCGGCCCTGGCGCTTGAGCGCGTAGACCACGTCCATGGCGGTGACCGTCTTGCGCTTGGCGTGCTCCGTGTAGGTGACGGCGTCGCGGATCACGTTCTCCAGGAACACCTTCAGCACCCCGCGGGTCTCCTCGTAGATGAGGCCGGAGATGCGCTTCACGCCTCCGCGCCGGGCCAGGCGGCGGATGGCGGGCTTGGTGATGCCCTGGATGTTGTCGCGCAGCACCTTGCGGTGGCGTTTGGCGCCGCCTTTGCCCAGGCCCTTCCCGCCCTTGCCGCGGCCGGACATGACTTAAACTAGAGACGAGCTCGCAATTGAACTGCCGCCGGGCCATCCCAGCGCCCGCCTTTATACAGGAGGCGGCGGACCGAAGTGAGAACCTGTGTGAGGAGGCGGGACGTTGCCGCCGCCGGCGTGGAGGAGGAGAAGGCGGGAAGAAAAGAAAAAAAAAAGGCGCCTCCGTCTTCCCCGCGCTTTCTCCGGGAACCGGCGCCTCCGCCTGTGCGCGCGATCCGCTCACCGACGCTGTACAAAGCTCGGAAGACCGACCGGCTCCGCAGCGGCGCGTTCTCCAGGGCAGGGAGGACGCTGCGGGCCGCTGCGGAGGGCCCCGGCGCCCAGTGCGCAGACATCTCACCCTGCTGCCATCTGGGGCCCCTGCTCCAGGCCGACTGCAGTTCAGATGACTTCCTCCAGTTTAAGCTTTCAGAAGGCTATCTTAATACTTCATTTTATGTGCATTAATATGAAGGTGTCAGATCCCTTGGAATTCGGGGTGCAGACAGTTGTAAGCTGCCAGGTGGGTGCTGGGAATTGAACCTGGGTCCTTTGGAAGAGCAGACAGTCCTCTTAACTACTGAACCATCTCTCCAGCCTTTTTTTTTTTTTTTTTTAGTTGACAGATTCTTTCCTAGTTTAAAAAGCACATGGCTATTTTTATCTTTAATTTTTAGAGATTTTGTATTTACAATTTCAAGCCATTATTTAATAGGCAACTTAACATAAAGTATCTATAAGACAGTATTCAACAATGGCTGACATTAGTTACAATAGCACTATAGTCCATACTACCTTGACATTAACTAGGTAGGCCTGGCCTCAGGCTCACAGACATCTCTGTGTCTACCTCTGGAGTCCCAGTATTTCAGGTCTGAGCATCAAACTGCCTAAATAACATACTTTATTTTTCTCCTAAAGCATTATAAAATACTTTTCATACTTGCAATTGCAATTTAGGACTCAACTCTTACTCTAATTATTTTTATTTATTTACCTTTATGTGTATGAGTGTTTTGCCTGCATATAGGTACGTAAATATGACAAGTTATGTGTTCCTGGTATTTACAGGGACCAGAGTAAAGCATCAGCTATCCAGGAACGAGAGATAGAGACAGTTGTGAGCCGGTCGTGTGGGAGCTGAGAACTGAACCAAGGTCCTCTGAAAATGCCACAAGGGCTTCAAAACATTGAGAAATCTCTTCAGCTTTACACAGCACCTCTTTCTCTCTTTCTCTTTTTCCTTTCTTTCCTTTTTTCCTTTCTTTCCTTCTTCTTCTTCTTCTTCTTCTTCTTCTTTTTTTTTTTTTTTTAATAAAGAGATGATTGTGCTCCAGGGAGGAAACACTTCCTATCTCTCTCTCCCCTTTGTCTCTCCTCTCTCTCTCTCTCTCTCTCTGTGTGTGTGTGTGTGTGTGTGTTCAACTATGCAGGGATGATGACCCAAAGTCAGGAAGGGAGGCTGGAGCAAATCATGAAGAGTCTTGGGGCTGTATCAGAGAGCAGTGAGGAGGCAGTTTTCAGTGGAGAAAACAAACACTACACTGATGAAGATTCGTTTTGCTGAGATCCAGAGCGAATGCTGTGAGCAAGCAAATGACTATTGCAGTAATCCAGATAGAAGGTGAGGCTGGCTGGAACACACACGCTGGCACTTTTCTCTAGGTGTTGTGGAGGTATGCGCCCAGCTCTGCTTTCTCTGAGGAAGGTCAGTCTCATGAGATAAAGAAAACTAACAATAAAAAGTGAGAGCAAGGGCTTCTTATTCCTGAGTTTCAAATTTGTCATTTGAACACTGTCTAACATGCGATCTTCATCATGGAATCCGAGGGGAAACTAGGAGAGCCAACATAATGTCGAAGGCTTTTGATTGGTGGTATGATCACGCTTAGACCTAAAGGTCAACACACACACAAAAAATGGTGTAGGCTTTGTTCATTCCATGCAACTGGGGTTTGGCGCATGACGACAGGTGTAGGTACTCAACCTGTGAGAAAAATGGGAGACTAAGTCCTTTAAAACTAGCTCCTCTCTACCCCTTATCTCATTTTTATTCGTGTGTAAACGTGGTGTCGCTGTGTGTGGCACCTGTGTGCT